TTAATGCACTCTTTCAAAAATTATTATTCCTTTACAATTTTCCGTCTTTCCTGAGAGGAGAATTTCGATTATCTTTTGACAACATTAATAATGATTGGGAGAATTTACTCAGGATTGTAACAAACATTATCTTTTGAAGCAATATAATTGTCATAATTGACACATATAATAAATAATAAATTCATAATATGACAGAAATGGAGATTTTGAAAATGGTTTTCTCGGTGCACGTGGCGGTTCAATATCAGCCGCCACTCATTCAATGAACACTTATAAGTGACACTTACAATGTGCTTACTCTCAAGGTCAACTTTAGTTCTACAACGATTTAGATTATTGGACTCATTTTCATTGACACTGCTTCTATTATTACACTCAATTCTATTTTTGTATTTTGTATTTCCTCATCGTAGGAGAATACCCCGATCGAGGAACCAGGGGATAACGGTGAGTTGCATTTTTTATTTTCATTATTTTTCATTTAACATTGAGTTTATTTATACTGTTAGAAAATTGCACATGAAATTTTCAATAATTTTCTTTCTAGTTTTACTTAATTAAGAAGTTATTACTGATATCTTATAATTTTCCATGTTTTTTAAAGATTTCTGGGAAAACCTGGATGAAATTGCCGTGAAAAAATATAACGTTTTTGGGATTTATCATTCTTCAATGACTCACAAATTTTCATAGTCGCACATTTATTTTTCTAAATTTCCGGTAGTTTTGTGAATTTATGCAAAAGTTTACTGGGAGTGTAGAACAATTCTTCGACGATGATGAAACTTCGTAAGACTTGGAATAATAATAAAACTTGAAAACGGTATATTTTTTCTCATCAATTTCAACGATCTTTATTTGTTTAAAAAGACCATTGAAAAATTCATGAGATGAGTAGACATGAAATGCAATGAAATATCTCATCTATTACCATTCGATTTTCAATTGCATAATCATCAGCATTTCTAGGTAATCTGGTAATTCTATATAACGATGAGAGCTGGGGGAAAGAAAAAATTTTAACTTTAGTATCATATTTATAATTATTTCCTCATTGCAATTCTTCCAAAGAATTTTCACAGTTGTCATTTTCACATTGTCAAATTTTATTAGGAATTAAAATTAAAACTTAAACAATTTGGATAATTTATTCACGAAGACATAATCAATAAGCGCAGAAAAAAACATCTGAGTGCAATAACGCTGAAAATGCATGAACTTTTAGAATTTCGCGAAGACAATAAATAAAGTAATTAATGGATAATGTCGCATGTATACAGCGGTTGATGCGAAAAAGTAAAAAATATACAGAAATAGAACATTTTTTGAATGAAAATTATTTTGCGAGTTTGAAAAAGCAGAAAAGTAACTGTTCAAATTTTTTAGAGAAATGAAAGATCTACCGTGAAAATGAAACAAAATGAATCAAGTGGATTTTTAATGATTGTGTTGTTTAATAGATGTTCTTTTGGAGATGGGATGCGTTGGAATCTGCGGATCGGATGTGCACTACCTGGTGAACGGTAGAATTGGTGACTTTATTGTGAAAAAGCCGATGATAATAGGTCACGAGTCTGCGGGGACTGTTGCTAAACTTGGAAAGAATGTGAAGCACCTAAAGGTAATTTTAAGCAAACGCTCTAACTGATGTACGGAGAGAAAATTCCAATAAAACGAAATGTTATGTAAAAATACTCGTACTAGTACTCTTTTAGGGATAGAACCGAAAATTTACGGAACGTTTTAGATTTTTATTTTTTATTTCTATGGACTCGATTAACTTGAAATCATTGTGGCTTGTGGATTACGTGAAATATTCCGGTACTGTAAGGCATAATTTATTTCAGATTGGTGATCGAGTGGCGATTGAACCCGGAGTACCTTGCAGAATGTGTAATTATTGCAAAGAAGGAAAATACAATCTCTGTCCGGAAATGTCCTTCTGTGCAACACCACCAGTTCACGGCAATCTCCGAAAATTCTACAGACATGCCGCTGATTTCTGTTTCAAGTAATTATAATTAAGCTGTAGATTCCACTAACTCCATACAGTATTCGATACGAAAACGATATCTATACGAAAGATTATTAAAAAAAAAACTTATTAAATATGTGTTGAATATATTTGAGATAAATTTTTGGCATAAAAAAGACAATGTCACTAAACAGATTTAGTAAAAAGATATTAGCGTATTGTTTAAGGCCCGGGTGGACTGTCTGGAAAAGACAATTTACTCCAAAATTGGGACTTCTAATTACTCCGCCAATTAATCGTTTTTTCCGATAATTGTTAGCTAGCGGTCTAGTTGTTCACAACTGCTAGAACGCTAGCTAACAATTATTGAAAGAAACGATTAATTACCGAAGTAATTAGGAATCCAAATTTCGGAGTAAATTATTTTTTCTAAATAATCTACCCGAGCCTTAACATTAACTCATCTCTGCTCCAAAACCCATCGCTCTTGGTACATTGTTAGAAAATGATTATTGATATTTGATATATTCGTTTGAAATTCTTGGCAACCACTATAATTTTTCCCTGAAGTTTGCTTACATTTTGCTAGGGAAGATGAAGTAAAATTATCATTTCAGAAAAATTGATCGAAATTATAAAAAAATAAACTGATATTAATCAGTCCTTCTCAAAATAGTAAAGTATTCACTCAACAATTGTTCTTATAAATATCATTTTTGAATTGTCGCAGCAAATATCCAATTACTCATGCAATTATTAGTCGATAAATTGTAATAACTTATTTCCATCATTAAATTAGGGTAATTACAATGTTATATTATCAAACTCGATGCGTAACTTTAAATTGTTGGAAATTAATTAGAAAATGGAAAAAAAAATTGGAAAGGTCATGCAGAAATCGAAATTTTCAGTTTTATAATTAAGTAATAAAAAATAATTTTATAATCAAGTAATAAATTTCCATAAAGAAATATACCAGTGAATTGCTAATGGATAGAGGTTGTGTCATGTCCGCAGATTACCCGATCATGTAAGTCTAGAAGAAGGTGCTCTGTTGGAACCCTTGGCCGTGGGAGTTCATGCTTGTAAACGTGCGGGCATTGGAATCGGGTCGAAAGTGTTGATACTGGGAGCTGGACCCATTGGTCTCGTTTCCCTAATAGTTGCTAAGGCCATGGGGGCGAGCAAAACACTCATTACTGGTGAGTTTTTCCTTCCGAATGGAAGCATTGCAATTGTTCCATTCTGAGTGTGCAATTTTTCCTGTTTGGATTACTAACTTTGTAGTTAAGCTTAACTCTCCTCATATAACTCTGATCATCTATCAATCTTCAGATTCAAAATTGTAGATTTTTTCGATCACAATGACCTATTTTTTGACAAGGAATTGGAAGATGAGACTTTTCGAAAAATGTTCCTGTGTATGTATGTGAGCAAAAAGTTTTTTGATCATCAATCGAATGATTTAAGTTAACCGGGATCGAAGATGCAGACGATTAGGCTGTGAGTTTTCTGAAAATTCGTTGCGGTATTGATGTAGGTCCAATAATAGTACAATTCTGGCTCAAGGTTGGTTCAAGCTTGGTACAAGGTTGGCTCAACGTTGATCCAATGTCGCTCGAATATCGACTTACTGTTGGCGACGAATATCGATCCTTCCATCAAATTACGGCCAATGTCTTCATTCATTTGATAGATATGCATAAATGGGGATTAACTCCTAATAATAATTCTTCCGTAATTTATCTATCATTATTCATTGGCCTTTATTTACAATACAACTATGTTGAACGATAATTTCTGGATCGTGAAAATGCGCTCATTGTTGATTGTCGAAATGTCGAAATCATTGGATAATCATGTAGTTCAATTTGCAATTTATGAAGAGATGATTATGTAAAATTACATTAGCTATAGTACAGTTTGTGCGTTGACTTTCCATTCTTGGAAAATATTAGTTATCGTTTTATCTATTACTTTTTGAAAATGTTGGCCGTAGAGGTGTCTATATTTGCGTATTTCTAAAAGATTTATTTTTAAAATGATTGGCTTTCGGATGAATATTGCGTTTATTTTTAGCATTTTGCCAACGTTTCGCAAGCATTACAGTCTGCATCTTCAGGGCTACGAGCTCCGATTCAGAACTCCAATCTCCAATGTCTGGGGTCGTTCTTATATACTCTCCTCACATGGCAGTGGAGGAATAATTCAGGAAGGGAGTGATTCCAGTTAATCAGTTTTTTTCATTGATCAGTTTATCAATAAAAGAATCAGAGCTCAAAATCGGAGTTCATAGCTCTGATGATGCAGATTGTAATGTTTGTAGAACGTTGGTAAAATGCTGAAAATAAACGCAACAACAATCCGCAAGCCAATAAATTTCAAAATAATTCTGGTCACGGAACTTTTAAAAGTTCATTAGAAATCTTTTGCGTGTTTTAAAGTAGTTTCGTTTCGACAGTGACGTTATATTTACACATATACATACTTTGTATATATTTGTTGTCATTGATGATTGATAAAGGCACACATCTATAATTGTTTATGCAACCTGTTTCACTCAATTTTTTGCATCCCACGTCAACTGAAACTGGTTGACTGGAAAGAAAATCCCAATCCTTCCCGCCTTTGCTTCTATCTCATCTAGTTTTGGGAAAAATTCTATTGGATTCAATGAGGATTCCTAATCTTGTAGATTATCAAGAAATTTCGCGAAAACTGGTTAATGATGGAGTAACGCTCTTCTTCTTTTCTTCTCTTCTTCCGCAGATATCGTGCCAGGACGATTGGAAATTGCTAAGGAATTGGGTGCTGACATGACACTTTTAAGTAAGGGTCTGTCTGAAGCCCAAGTTGTGGCTGAAGTTCATAAACTATTGGGAGGTGAACCTGAACGGACTATTGACGCCTCAGGAGCTGAGTCATCGATCCGAACTGCCATTTTTGTGAGTTAAATAATTAAAATCAAATGAAGTTCTTCACTCATTGTATATGTCAGTATAATGTTTACATACATACTTTTTCCTTTGTACGGTATGAAAACATATACGGATGTGAACATTGGTGATAATTGTTGGATCAATTGCCTCGACCGTAAAAAATAATTATTTTCCTTTATTTATTCATTTATTATCATCCTTCGATTCTTTTTGAGTTGGTCTGGTTTTTGAATCCCAGAAAATGTCCAACAAAAATATTCTGTTCTTTTCTACATTTTTCAACTTACCACTGCCAGATTTTATTCTTAAATATATTATGTTATACAAAAATTGTAATTACAGGCTACTAAATCGGGTGGAGTTGCAGTTCTGGTGGGAATGGGTGCTCCAGAGGTGAAAATTCCATTAATAAATGCTCTCATTCGTGAAGTGGACATTCGTGGCGTCTTCAGATATGCCAATGATTACGCTGATGCCCTGGAACTCGTAGCTACCGGCAAAGTCAACGTTAAACCCCTCATAACGCACCACTTCCACATGGAAAAAACCGTCGAGGCTTTTGAAGCTGCCAAGTCACCCACCAGCGGTGCAATAAAGGTCATGATCCACTGCAAATAGCTGGTGAAGATAACGAAGAATTAAAGTCATTTGGAATTGATCGAGTGGTCGTAAAAACAAGTGATTAATTCTACTCGAAGATATGAGTTCCTTTACTGTGCAAAATTATTGAGATGTGGAGAAAGAATAAATTTGAGCACATCAAGGGTAAAATACTAATAATGTTTGGTATTTAAATACTCTTCCAGTTTCTGATGAAATTAAAAAAATTATCTGGGTGGTCTCATTTTTTCAGATGAATCAGCCAATCTTTACAAAATAAGTTGAGTCATTGTTATAGGATTTTCTACACAATTTTATCAGAAATTATTCGTGTATTTTTATGCAAGAAAATATTTTTATGAATAGATATATAATTATTGAATATTTTTTGATGTTTTCCATTTGAATGATTTTATCAGTTACTTGAGTGTTTATATGACATGTTAAGAAATCTATTGTTTATTGTCTATATTAGAATTGATTGCAGATGTTTTTCCGATGAGGCGTGAAAACAAATTTGTAAAAACTGTGCATTTTAGAGTGAACATAATTTTGAACAAAATTTGGCTTAATAGTGTCACTATAGCTAATAAAAACACATCGTTGCCTGAAAGAAAAAGTGCATAAGTTTTTTTAGACATTTTATATAATTTCCTAACGAAAACTGAATGTGAAAAAAAAAATAGACAGGGCTATTTGATCATGTGCAAAAATAATACTTTAGATAAGGTTTACGCTATAAGTAGTCCTTTTTCTGGCACTGTTTTTTCCAGCATGTCATACATCTTTGTCGAGTAGTTTTTGGATAACAATGGAGGATCTGTACTCAAATATTCCAATAACATTCATACTCACCCCTAAATTGTCTATCATTGTAGCAGCCGATTTTCCGGTAAGTTAATAGAGCCCAGCCACTCAGGGATCTTAACTTTAACATTAAGGATATCTAAGTAATTTGGTGAAAGCAGCAACTCTTTTTCAAAAAAGATTTTAGTTTTGCGCAAAATATCGCCATTACTACACTTTTTCGGATTCTCTATTGCTGAATAGATTTTTTTTTTGGGAATTTTTCTGATCAACTATAGTCAAACATTTTTCATTTTCAAAAAACAAACAAGGGTAGAATTGCTCTTATATCGCAAATCATACAATTGTTTTTGCTAATAAATTAGTAGTATGCTTTCCAATGGTTATTCTCCATATTATCTTTACCCTTTGTAAATAAGCCTTTATTATTTTTATTTATTTTATCATAATTTATAATTTTCGAAAAAATTAAAAATTAATAGTTAAAATTAAAAAATAATAGTTGGATGAAATCAATTCCTATTGACAGCGCTAGAGAGGGCCCAATAAGACCTACATGTGAAAGAGATGACGGTCAGCAAGCAAAGAAAAATACTACATACGCACACGGACATACATACATTTGGACACGGTCTAAAAACTGCATTTTCTAACTTCTAGGATTATACCGAGTTGATATATGACAAAAAATGCCAAACTTAAATTTGTTAAATTACAAAGTTTCCATTCATAAGCAAAAAAGTCGAAAATGTGTTCGGAAGCTAAGGTTTTTTTCTCGCGTAAAGCAAAGCTTTTGGTCTATTCTAAAATCTGTAAGAAGAGTTTTTCTGAAAAAAAATATCACTAAAGTACTTGGATATCTTTAACCACACGTTAACCATGGTTAGCTTATCGAAATCCGGCCCTAACTCATCCGTTTTGTTCTGGTTCTACGATTTGAAATGCAATTCCGAAGAAGCGCTGCCATCGAAAAAGTGAAAGGAGTGGGGATGAAAAGGAGATTGCGCATTGCGCACGGATTCATTAGGCGTTTGATGCACGTCGACTCAACACGGCATTCACTTTCTCTTTATCGCGATAACTTCCGGAAAAGTTGAGATTAGCCCTGTACAAATACGTTTTCGATGTGCCGAAGTGTCTCGTCAAATATCGAATTAATAAATTACTTGGTCAGACGTTATCGCAGCGAAAAACAGTAGTAACAACTGAAATTCTGTGTGATCGTCCGCTCAGACAAGTGAGCAGTGTTTGATGATAATGGCCGATGCAGAGGGTAAAAAGTTGACCGAGCTGAGGGTAATAGATCTGAAAACGGAGCTGGAAAGACGGGGACTCGATAAAACTGGAAATAAAGCAGCACTTCTCGAGCGATTATCCAAGGTAAAATCAGTTAGTTTATCAGAGTTATGGAGTTTTTGGGAGCTAATTAGAGGATTAATGATGGATGCCAATGGGCTTGCAAAGTCCCCGGGCGTCGCGTGCTCGACCGGCGCCATTTTTACTCTATTGATCACTTGCACGTTGACACAAATGTTGATTAGTTGAATAATTTCATGGATAATGAGGCATTGCACCAATCAACAACGCACTCTTATATTTTTTTATCGCCAGAGGACTGACTTGTTTTTTCCTGGTTTCAGGCTATTTCTGAGGAGGGAGAGGACCCGGAGGAGTACCTCATCGTCCCCTGCGTTGGGACAAACAAGATAAGCCCAAGGAAAAACAGTGGTATGTATTTTTTCACATTCTTTTGTTGTTCCCGGGAATAATTGGCAGCTTGAGATATTGGCGATATTATTTTTGGCCGAGATGAGAACCGCTTTCTCTTGTTAATTCAGTGGTGGATCTTAATTTGGAGCTCAAGGACTTTGGTATTTTAATTTTTCAGTAAAGGGTTGAACCAGCAGTTTCGACCTTTTTTTCTAATGTTTCAATCTCAATTGAGTGATTATAAACTGTTCTTTTCTTTTTCTTTTAAGGAATACTTTCCTTCTCTCTGATAGTTCAATTGTCTGATTCATGCTGTACGTCTCATACAGGAAAATACATCTAGTGTATCCATTTTGTCGAAGAAAAACACGGCAATTCCGAGTATTCTAGACTGAAGAATTGAAATCGTGTTTTAATCTTCGAGCTCACTGCGATATTTATCGAAAGAGATTTGACTTTTTTTTCTTTCACTGCAAACGATAATGTTATGAAAAATCGGAGACTTTCAATCATAGGGGAAATTATAGAATATGTACATTTAATGTTTATTGGAATAAAACTTCATGTAATTGCTTCTCAAGCGAAATAGTTGTTTTTCCTTGAGGAGGAAACTTGTTGAGTTTTATAATAAAATTCAGAGCATAAGCATGAGTTTAATTGGACAGTTTATTTAGTTGTGAACATTTTTAAACATATTTGAAAATTATTCGGTTACGAATTTACCGTAGTTTTTGCAACAAAACACCGCTGGTTAATCTTTACTTACGACCACAAAAGAATTTTTCATTTTTTTTCCTTATTACAACAGGTAATTCTTAAAAATAGACACAGATTTTTCGAAAATAATGAAACTTGATTCGATTGTTGATCAAATAAAATAATTTTTCTCATTAAAGAGTGAAATTTTTTCACAATAAGCTTAAATGATGAGCCCAATTGAACAATTAAACTTGACTTATACATGCCTGAAAGATATGTCAAGTGTTCATATTATCGCACCTTCCCCTTCGCGATTCGAAGCCGGCTAGATAATTAATCAAGATTGGGTTGATTTCCTCTTGATCTCGAATGCAATTCATATTTTCTTCAGTTTCTGGGTTAATTCCTGCTGAAGAACCGCACGAGATCCAGGATAGTAATCACAAGGAGGACAACACCGATAACAATAAAGATAATGAGGAAATAAAGAACAATGAGCAACCAAAATCTCCCATCGCCGAAGTAGAAGCTAAACCAACTCTCAAATGCGTAAGTCTATTTCCTAACGGATAAGGATTACTGTCGAGATTGACTGAGTAAAATCGCATCTTTTTTTTTGTTTTTTAAAAATATTTTGTTGAAAGCATTATTTTGTTGAGCACTGACAAAACTAAAGTTTTTTTTCTCTGCAGGAATCTCCGGAGATAATTGAACTAGACCCACCAGAAGAAGAGAAGAAAGAAGAAGCGAATGAAGAGTCACAAGAAGAACCAAAGGAGAAAGAGAAGGATAACGATAAGGATAAGGATAAGAAAGAGGAAGTAGTTGTGAAGGAAGAGCCGATGGAGGTGGATGTAGAGGTGAAAGAGAGTGCTATGGAGCCTGAGAAGATCGAGGAAAAGAAACCAAGCTCTGAAAACACCTCAATTGCTCCTCCTCCTGCTCCAGTAATTGACACCAATACTGTGGCCAATACCATCGAGACGAATGGCATCGACAACGAGGATTCCATCAATCTGACCATCGGGGAGGATGAAGAGAACCTCCTCGCCGAGGAGGTACGTCAATTTTCAGTTACACTAAAAATCCTTCTGAGAGAATTTTTTTTTTCTTAACATGTCTTGTTCACGTTTGGTTTTATGTATGAAAATATAACTTTTATTAATTCAGTAGCGAAGCGGTAAAAGGGTTTAAGTCTAAAAAAGTAAATTTAAGAAGAGATCCGGACAACGAATTGTCGTTTTTCTGTTATTAATTTGTGCAAATCAAGTGAATCAAGTGAATTCCATTAAATTTTGAGTGATTTGTTCATACTAATAGTTTCACCTGCTGCAGCTATTTATTTTTCTAAATTCGGCGATTTAACTCGTATTGCACGGCGAGAAAACATTGCAGTGCTTAAAAGAAGAAACGCATAAGAATGTCACTAGTCCCGCCACTATGAAACTTTATTACTTTTTCGTTTATGTCGACCTAGCTCATTTGGAATTATAGTTGCAACTTAACAAAAAAGTTATTAGGTTTTGTGGCTTGAACCATTTGTGTGAGAGGTACGTTATATCCTGAGAGTCGATTTCAGTGATAGACTCATTTTCAAGTCGAAAATCGACTTGGACCGTTTCATTGCTTCGCTATTGAATTATTCAATTATTCCCTCTTTTTCGTCCAGTACTTCATAGAATTATACAGTCACTATTTACTAAGTACCAAGGCTTCAAGCATATATCATCCCAATTCGTTGACTTTTATTGTAGATGAAAAAGTTACTTTTTTAAAAAACCAATGATTTATTTTATATATAATTTATAAGTATTTTTTCCTTCTTAAAACAATAATAATAATTAATCGATTCTTCGTAAGAGACTAAGATTAATTCCAAATAATCTAAAACTAAGAAAGTTTAAAAAATTTGGAACTGTGGAAAGAAATGTATTTTTAATTTCATAAAATTTTATGACACTGACATTTCCATTTCAAAATTTGTTCACGTTTCTCTACCGAGATTATAACGATTCATGTTTTTACCATCAATGAAGTTCATGGCAATATCTCCTGTAATTATCTGGAAGAGGTATTGAACTTTCTTGAGCATGTAAAAACTCCCATATTCAAAAAATTCTCTCAGTGTACAAAAAAATGGTTCCGCCAATTTGCGTGATGTAATCGTAATCTCTGCTCTGAATTTCCAGGCGGAGACTCACATCAAGCAGAAAGGTAAGTCGCACCCTCACTTCCAGAGCCTTCTTAGAATTAAATGAATTCCCTTTCAAGTTCACGAGCAAAAAGCGAATCCCAAATAGCAAATAACAAGAAAAATCATCGATGGAATCTCGCACGTAAGTAGAACCTCGGTAAAAAAAATAATCGAGATCATTGGACTCAAGACCGAGGAGTATCGAGCAATCTCCAGCCCAGACCGTAATCACCCCGCGTACGAGTTGAGAAGACTCTCCAGCGGATGTCCCGCAACTCAATCCAAACAAATCGATAAATCAACCATTTTACCGTAGCGTATCTCCAATAATCCGATTTAAAAAAAGCTCGTGAAGTTGTACCAAAAATCCCAAGTACGCGAATCCGGATTGGGCCGAGAGCTGATCTGCAATTCTGGAAAGTGTTTTTCCGAGGGTGTCCTATGGCGTCAGCGAGAGAGAAGCTCCACTGCAGTTCCCGATTCGAAGATGGGCTGATCTATCCAAATTCATTCCAATCCTTCCGTTAAATAGTATAGCTAATCAAAGTGCTAAAGCATCGTTGGATTGATTAGAAAAAAAAATGATCGCTTACCTGAAGAGAATATTCCATTCATCATTAGCATCACAACTGCAACGAGAAATACCTATTAAAAAATCTGTCGAATAATTATATCCCCCAGTTTGACTTTCCTCTTACAATTTCAATTTTTTGAAATCAAAAACCAAAAAAAGAACGAAAAAAAAGAAACTAAATGAAAACAATTCCCATGCGTTATCTCAGTTTAATTCTACGAGCGAAATAAAATAATCCTAACGTATGTCAAGACAGCGAGTTGAACCAGCTCTAATCCACAATTTAGCAGTCAGCGATGTGTTGGGGGAGAGAAAAATTTTATTTCAGGCACCAAGATCACTCACCAACAACTACTCAACCCGATCGAATCATCATGGAACCACAAACCTGACCAAACAATTCCTAAAAAAAAAACTATTTATTAAAAAAACCTAAACAGTTGGGGAGTTGACGACACTGTACACTACTTGGCTTGATTGTTCCTGCAGATGGTGGGGGTAAGAAGAGAATTGAAGATAACAGCAAGAAGGGTGATTCCAAAGGTAGCAGAGGTGACACTGGAGGTGGCAACAAGGACAGCACATCCAACTCAACCGGGAACAAGAGCAAGGACGATGGAGGCAAGAGGTTGGTCTCACATTGCTAAAAAAAAAAAACAAATATACAGTGCGTCACGTTTATCCATCGAGGCTAAATATGTTTAGGGAAATATATAATGATGTATTTAAAAAAGCCATTGAGCTTGCTGGATTACGCCATCACCTGGATGTGTGACAGTTCTACAAACCGACGCTTAAACCCGTACTTTGCCACACGAATTTATTCGACAGATCACACGCAAGATTTTCACTTTTTATTTTTGAATACTTTTTCGGTTGTTTTGTCTTTTGGTATCTTCGGATATTTTGAGGATTGATTGAAATGTTTTGGGGGGTGGAAGGGCATCATTAACAACTCTGGAGATTATGCCGAGGATGTAGGGGAAATTGGCTAGCAAACTTTGTGAATTTCTTGGGGAAATTACAAGTGGATGGAACAGCTATGGCTTTGGAGGACATTGGATTTTTGGAGATCATCGATTGGCGGTTTCAACATTTCAAGAGGAAGAGGAGTGAAGATATGAAGATTTTTCTACGGTGGATTAATGGGACGTGCTGCAGTTTCTGGGATGAGGAGGGCAAGAGTTGCTAGCCAAATTTGATGACTCGATGTGTAGCTCCAGAGATTGTTACTGAGCTTTCTAGAATCCATGATTTATGGTTTGGTGATGTTGTGGGAGGAAGCGGTATTGTTACTCATAGATTATAATATTCTATTGAATTTATTGAATTGGTGAGGGGCGTGTGATTTTATTTGATTTTGATATTGTATTTTTTACAGCAGTGACTCTAGTAACAAGGGACAGAAGAGAGATGATAAGGGTGAGTTCAATTGTTTATTGACGAGATTATAACCCTTCATTTTTCAATCAAATATTGTCCTCAATATTTATTTATTTATTTATTTATTTGGCAAGAAGAGTACGAATTTGTCAAGGTAAAATGGTTTAAAGATATTCATGTATCTTTTACATTTTAGTATATATATATATATACGTTCAAATATTATATATTTAGCCTTACTAAAATTCTTTAGCAAGTCACATTCACGACTACAGAAAATGATTCAATATGTGGGTTTTGAAATTTTTTGAATTGATTGTAAAGTTTCCAAGTAGTTTTTAATATTTGGTATCGATGTGCTATAAATTCTCAGATATTTAATAACTCAATTGATAAATTGAATTGTCTTAACACAATGCTCAAAATCTATGGTCTTCCCACTAAAAAAAGGCTTCTAAATGAATAATTAGAATAGATTAAACAGTCAAAAACCTCTTTTTTATCTGTAAAATGCTGAATATGTAAAATGTATTATGACTGTAAAAATTATTCTTTTATTCTTAGTGGGAAAAACTGAATATATGTAAATAGTCTATTTATTTGATAAAATTCCACACATGTTCAGCAAAATTGACAATATGTAAAATTTAAAGAACAAAATCACTAGAGAATATGTTGAAGCCGTTTTACCTCCTTTCTGGTTGATTGTTTTGATTGCGCCTCTAACGGGTAAACCGTAAAAAAACTATCTTTGTATTTTCTCTCACAATCACTCCCATCCACACAAAAAAAGCATGGATCAAAATATTGAATATGGTCTTGAATTTGTTATTTCTCCCTGGATTCAGACAAGAAAACAAGCAGCCCTGCAAACGCAGGTAGCCGTAACTTGTGGGTATCCGGTTTATCCTCAACGACTCGTGCCACCGACTTGAAGCAGATATTCTCGAAGTACGGAAAAGTAATCGGTGCCAAAGTGGTGACAAACGCTAGAACACCAGGTGCTAGGTGTTACGGTTACGTTACGATGTCAACAAGTGAGGATGCAGCCAAGTGCATTCAACATCTGCATCGAACGGAGTTGCACGGTCGTGTAATATCCGTGGAGAAGGCCAAAGGTGATTCCCAACAGAGTCACATGCGTAAACGAGAATCAACCAATGGAAAGCCAGAGAAGAAGGACGACAAGGACAAGACCAAATCATCGGATCACCACGACTCCAATGACAAAAAGGAGAAGAGCGATAAAAAAGAGGATGAGGATAAGCCCGGGGATACGCCGAAGAAATCCGAGGAGAAGTCCCACTCTGATGATAAAAAATCAGAGAGCAGTGAGAAGAAGGATGGAAAGGAGGAGGGTAAGGATGCTGATGCTAGATCAACCAAGTCGACGAGCAAGAAACCGGAGGGTGAACGTAAACGCGATGACAAACGCTCTCGCCCGGCTGATGCTCATCGTTCGCACACTCGATCTCGCAGTCGCGAGAGAAGGCGGAGGGATGATGTACTGACATTTGCCAAGATCAGGGAGGAGAGGGAGAGACAACGACTAAGGGATCGTGAACGTTTGCTTCGTGAGGAAGAACGACGGCGTCGAGAGGATATGGAACGACAGAGGGAGATCGAACGTCGGCAAAGGGAGGAAGCAGCTCGTCTTGAGAGGGAGAGGGAGAAACTCCGGCGAGAGAGAGAGAGAATTGAGCAGGAGAAGGCAGAGCTGTTGAGGCTCGAGAGGGAGAGGCAAAAGCTGGAGAGAGAGAAACTCGAGAGGGAAAGGCTGGAGCTCAAGAGACAGCAAATGAGGCTCGAGGAGAGCCGGAGAGTACCACCTCCACCTGCTATCAAGAGGTCCTCTAGTGACAGGAGGGACATCAGGGAGATGTATGCAGAGCCTGAGAGGAAGAGGCTCACCACTGATCACAGCAGGAGACATTCTCCTGAGAGGGTCTCCGAGAGGAGGAATGACATTCTTGAGCGCGTGTCTGATAGGAGGATCGATGGATCACCTTCTGGCAGATATGAATCCTCTAGGTAATTAAGCGCTCGGTGTGAACGCCGGATGAATTGGTTTCTAAACATTGGTCCACTCAAATTCGGTTCTTTTACTGCAAGTGCACATCTTCGAAATTCAATTGTTTGATTATTTCGGGATGAGAACGGCCTGGGGAAATTTCAATGCTGCTAAAGGCTATTGAAATGTACTGTTAGTTTCTTGTATATTCCGTGAATACAATGAATAATAGTTGATGAGAGAAAACTCAAGAACAGTGCCCTCAATTTTTAGATGCTTTTAAACTTCAAATTGTGTGATTTGTTATGTGTAAAAACAGCAAATATACATTATCTAAATTGAGTTTAAAAAATGTCTCTTACAATTGCTGATTTACATTTTTTTAGACCACAAAAAATTTCGTATCCACATATACTTAAATGTATGTATTCTTATAAAAATTTATCATTTCTAGAAGAACAAGATGAATATTTTCAATAAATGTCCAAAGATAAGAGACAGTTGACAGATGCGGGTACACCATCTAACTTGGTCTCTAGCGTCTGTCCATTCGAATGATAGCGATAACACTTATTATAATTATTAATCCTCTTTAGATGACTTCGATTCATTTCATCCGGTTCTCATAAAATTGACGAATTCTTTCAGCCATTTTCCAGATGCTTTTCCATTTCTTTTCCATTGTTTTTTGGTTGAGAATTCTCTACTCTCTTTGTGCCTCATTTTAATTTTTTTGTGAGACCTCTTAATTGAATTGAATCTTAAATATATGAAACCATGTACAAATAATCACATTGAAGGAATCGGTCCAAATTTTTTTTCTACATAAAAGTTCTCTTGTGTTGGGTACAAGTATACACTCATTCCTCAAGGGAAAAAAAACTTTATTTCATTGAAAATTAAATACAGTTCACGTTTTATTTAAAAGCATATCGGATTTTCTCATATTCAAAAAACCTTTTTGTGGTTTTCTTAGTTAATAACCGAACAGATGAAACTGCCGTCATCTGAGCAGAAATACATAAACTAATGTTTCCTCATGTTCGGGTTCTTATGAGATTTGTGATCAAATTGATAATTTACTTACTAGAACCTCTAAAATCTAAATAAAAATCGAAAGTAATTTTTAAAAATTTGACGACTGAGGGGGACAAGAGAATATTGCAAAAATCTGGTGTTTTTTGTCCGCTTGATTTCTAAATAATAAACACGGACTGGCGGAATAAAATTTTTATCCATATATATAGAGAAGTTTGATTTGTTAGTTAAACAAATGTAGTTTTTTTGTGATTACTTGTGAGTTTGTTTAACGATCCTTAACCATTGAATTTTGTGATGCTATTTCTTTCAGGTCAGGTCAGGATTTATCTTTGAAAAAGGACTTCAAGCGTGGAAGTGAGTTTTCATCCCGTAGCAGTCGGCCGGAAACATTCACCGATGTGTCTCGAGGAAGAGAGGTCATCGTACGACGTGAGACTCTACCAACTGGGTCGTCAACAATTGATCCACGTCAGGTGAAAGAGAGGTAAATAAACCACCATTTATTTCCATAAAAGTCCACGAGGAGATGAGAGATACGTGATACGTAACGATTTTCTATCTCGATGAGTCTCTAATTCATTGCCCCATTACAATACAAATTAAATCACCAATTTTCTGGTATTTGTCTTGTTCAGTCGATACGAAAGACCCAGCAGCACATCTTATGGACGCAGTGAGCGTGAAGTACGACGTAACGACACAGATAATCACAGAAGCTCTAGAGACTCGAGCCGTTACAGCGACAGCTCCAAACCACCGAATTCCAATACACAAGGACGTAAGTTATCTCAATCGATTATCAGTAATTCGTCTCAATTGGTCAAACGTTAAATCTAAATATAAACGTTAGTTCCGAATATTTATTCCTTTACCAAGATATTTCATTTAAGATTAATGTAACAGCATCAATTTCAAAACAATGCAGATGAAATGTCTTAAGCTGGTCCTTATCCCTGGGTCGTTTATCTCTGGTATTCTGTATTTCAATTATCTCTACAGTTCTATCAAGTTGTCAGGAAGATGTCATCGTATCAATTATTCTTATTTATGAAGATTGTGTTGCGAAGGAACAAAATTACGTATATTACGAGAAGTTACTTTGAATTCATTAAAGTAATCAATGAAAACGTAGAAGAAATATTGGTGATACGATAGAGTGAATTTTTATGTAATGAGAAGTAACTAATATTTTTTAAATGTTGATATCTAGCAATGTAGGTAATACCTACAATAATCATTAGTTGACAGTAAAATTGGCTTGAGTCGCATTTAAGATTTAATATTGGAATATTGTTAATGAAAGAAATAGGTACAATGCAACTAAAAATTGGCGATGGGATTGATGATATCTATTAAGTTTTAATGTTGCCCTTTTAGAGCAGAACATTTACAGTGAAATTTATGAAGATATAGTTTTTTTCAAATGATGAGAACTACGAAATGATTGTATGAAGGCAGAACGAGCGACTATGAGGATATGACCTTTTCCCCTATAGTGATACTCACCATTATTTATTAACAATTGATCATTTTTACACTGTAAAAAATTTTCCACTGAAATTTTCGGTAAGAGCCTTGGAAAAGTCTAACAAGCGAAAGTATTCTGTGAAAATAAATGAAAAATCAAGAAAATTCAGTAAAATCTTTCATTGAATTCCAGATTCCCCTGAATTTTCATGGAATTCCTTAAAAAATCCTGGAATTCTAGGAATTTGGCAGTGAATATTCATTCTCACTTGAAAATTCATGTAAGTTCTGAAATTTCTGTCTTCCTGCCACTAAAAACCGAGACTGTACTTAAATTTTTAGAGAAATTTGAAATTAGATGGAGTTTTTCCACTGAAGTCGAAATAAAGGGCTTTTTTTGGGAAATTCAGCCAACATTTTTCAACAGTGTAACTCTCACAAATTGTCATTTGGAAAGATTTACTTTTTTTTAATAAAAAAAAACATTTTCAATTTGCAAAGAAGAAAACACCTGCATCCTTATTCTGCCAGAAATATCTTCAGAACCCCATCAAAAAATATATTTAAAAAATATATAATATGGACCAATGTATGTTTAAAATCATGTTTTCTCTATTATATAAAATACCATGTTAGGCCATTCACATATATTTTTAAGATATATTTCTCAAAATATAAGACTACATCAGCGTCTTGCAACTTTACAAATTTAAGGATACAAGAAGTCAGGGAAATAACACTTTTAATGCTATGATTAATTGAATTCTATATTGGAAATTCAACAATGTTAAAGATTATGTAAACAAATTTCGTGGTGAGTACGCGAGGAGTGGCTTCCCGATTCAATTAATTTGCATGGCATTAAGGGGCGTGCTTTTCATTCCATTTGATTTTTCCTTTTTTACTTTCATGACTAGATTCTCTAGATTAAGAATTCGCAGATTCTATGGCAATTATTCGATTCGGGGTTTCTAATTACGCCCGTTAAATTGCGTGAAAATCCTTTTTGAGGATCAATATAAATGATTGTAACTTACCATATTTAGTTAATTGGGTCTCGAAGGTTCATAATGACTACATGTCATGCGGATATAAAATGCCACGTTTTCTCCCCACATCTTCTCTGATCACTGAACAAAATACTAATAATTATTTTCCTATACACAACATTTAAGTGAGACCTAAGTAGTTCTATTTAGTAGGTTACAACCTTTCGTTTGATCCCAAAATAGGAATTTTTCATGGAGTTAAGCGGCTGTAATTAGTATCTTCGCAAAATAAAATAATTATCATGGAATCTGGAGACTGTAGGATATCTAGAGACAAGAACAAAAACCAAATCTAAAGAAAATAGTCGTTGAAATGGGTCCTTTTTTTCTTTACACTCTTAAAATTTGTAGGGTGAATGCTGACGTCGTCGAGTATATTTTTCCGTTCATTCTCTTATTTCTGCAATGAAATGGTGAAAGAGGATAATTTTACTTCATTCTTGGTTGAGTTTTTCGGAAATATCTCCAAAATCATTTTTCGTTTCAACATTTTTCGTATAAAATATTGACAGACAAAAAAATCATAAGAAATATTTCACTAGCTCTCGTAATCGCGTCGCTATTTCTGAGAAGTTACCGAAGAACCAAGTCGATTGATCTTCTTTTTCTACTTGAAGTATTATCCAAGCCTCGATTTGAACTCATCCCTAAAAACTTTATTTTATGCATATTATTGAATTTCACGAGAAATTCAGTGTTGGTAATAGAATAAATAATAATAGAAAATGACTGAAATTGATTCTACCGCGATGAAAATGTTTGGCTGGCATGGACTATCTATCAAACATGATCGTCCGTTTGACTTTAATTATTTTAAAGCCACTTCACTGGTTAAAAAAAAAGAGAAATGAAAAAAAAAGAGGAAAAATTGGTGATGGGGATGAATCGAGATATTGATTTCAAGGGAAGATCCTTTCACAAGTTCACAGACACATAATTAAAAATGTTCTTAGCGGTACTCTGCGTAGTTTTAATTATTTTTCTATAAATGTCCCAGATCCATAGAAATCAATATCTCGATTTACCCCTCTTCAACAATTTTTCCACTTTTTTAAAATAATTTTTTTATAACAATGGAGTGGATTCCGCAGGAAAAATGTAATCCCTCATTTTAATATTTTTTAGGCTAACAAGACTAAATTGAAACTAAAGTTGAAAAATCAGTACATACCACTGCAATAAATAGTCATTAAGCCATTAGAGATCTTTTTATCAACTGTCTTCCGTCTTGGCATGACGATAATTGACAAAAAGTTATTGTCATGAAAAATTCCATAACTGACCTTTTCTGGGCCTCTGCATGCCTCACTATTTTTTTTATGAACATGAACCTAGGTTACACCTAATAATATAATTAAAATATTATGAAATAACATGACATATACTGACTGATTAGATTCCTTGCACTTCGAAGAAGGGCTTTCTACACTTTGTTAACGTAATCTCATTTGGAGGCTGTGATAATACCTTAACTACAGATGTCATTCGAGTATATTAGTCTTATCACCCGAAACAAATCTGCAAAAGTAAAGCCATGGTACCCAACTTGTTGATAACATAATTAACCTATTGAAGTATTGTTGTACTGAAAGAGAAAATAAAAATTTTGTAGGTGACAGTCGTTACAGCGAGAGTAGTAGAACTGCAAGTGGATGGCACGGTAGTGGCCCATCGTCGAAATCATTCAATGCAGTAACCAGCAGTGGCAGCCAACGGAGTGACGTGAGAAATGATCAATCGAGTTGGAGCAATCGTTCATCAGACGGTGTCAATAGATGGGTATCAGGCAGCTCTGGAAACACTCTGAGACATCCTGGACCACCTATGGGCTATCAAGGTGGACCCATTCAATCCATGGGCATCACTGCACCTGGCACAACTCCTTCTAACGAACGCTTCGACCCGTACAAGTATTCCATTCCCAGTATGAGAAAGTATTAATCGTAAAACATAAATCAACTAGTTGAGTTTTTTGATTAATACGTATTCTGCACCCGTAATACGTATTGTGTACAGTCTGGTGTTTATTTTCTCATCAGTTTTTTCTCCTTTTTTTTTCCCCGAGCAATCTATGTATATTTGTTTATAGAAGTTGTGAATCGTGCGCTATTGAACTAGAATTTCAATGAATTTAGAGATTTCTGAGAGAAGAATCACTTCTGTCGCTTTTAGGTTGGGTTTTACGTATCAGAAGAAATTTATTAATTATGCATAATATGACTATTCAGGGGAGGGAATGGAACATGTTTGTAATTTTTTGTTCGTGCTAGCGATTCACTCACCCCCCTCAACAACCACTTTTAAATTTTTCATTTTTCAATGATTTTTATTAATCATACAGCTAAATCTGGGTGTATAAGGATTTCGTCACTACCGATTACGATGTGGACATTTGAATGAACTAATATGATATTGAACGTAGTAAGAGAACAATGTTTATATCTGTAACATTTAATCTCTACTTGCTAGACTAATTATCGAAATAAATTGACATTTAAGAGCAAAATTCATGTGCTTGTTCTATTATTTATCATTTGTTTTTATTATTTTCGAAGAGGATTTCATGAATGGCAATGTCTGGTGATGTCAAAGTTACAAGTTCACGAGCATCTCACTTTCATTTCCACCGATGAATGTTGAATTTAAACCATCATCTTTTAATTCAATTTTTTTTTTAATCAAAAAGAAAATGTCCAAATACGTGCATAAGAATTCAAACAATTTTACCCTCATATTTCAATCACGCGCATGCGTCATCTTCCGATGTTACTCCCACCATACAAATATACGCCAACCCGTGTAATCACTTTAGATACCTTATCATGGGAACCTTAATAATTTTATGGCTACAACTCCGAGCCCTACCTGAGGTTGCTCACCTCCGATGTAAAGTTTTTAAATAACGTACAAATTGGAATTGGAAAATGGGTTTAATTTTTTATTAGCTTTTTATTAGCTTTGATTTCACTCTATCAAAACGGTATTAAGAAAACATTTGTTATCTTTATTTCATTCAGAGAATCAATAATTCTCGAAAATTAGTCGACCTGTTACACTTTACCTTCTCGCTATTGAATTAATAAATGAAATTCAGTCTGAATTCATTAAAGACTGAAATTAATTGATGAACTGATTATTATTCTAAAAAATTTATATAATGCGGCAATTCGCAAAAATTATGAGTACATATTTTTGAAAAGTGAAGATAAATTCCACACTTTGCCCGATTTTTTTCAATACTATTGAAGAAAATCTAAAATGGAGAAATTTAAAATGAATAATTTATGGTAGTAAACGGCTGTCAGATTTTTAACGGATCTGTCAATTGTCCCTTCACAATTTCTTCCCTATTGACCTTAATTTCCAGTATGAATCAAAAACGTTCTCTCAAATGTCAGATTTTCTTCTCATTTTTTATACGTCACTTTTGAGATGCTGTCGATTGAAAGAAAAACAAAAACCAAATAATGAAATTTTTAATAATCGAATGATAATCTATCCAGTAACTTAACCAGAAATATTTGTACATGATGGTTCTTATCAACTATGACGAATCAACTGTGACCCCTTATTGAAGAAGAATTAGAAGCATTATAATGTTATCAGTAACATGAGTGACTGAAAAATTGTCAATGGGTTTGCCGGGCGGAAGGAAGCGAGAAATAATAATGCAAGAGGTAATGAATCTATGGAAAAAATGGTGGCATTGCCGTAACGAATCATCAGCCAGTGAAGTGTTTATCATGTTTTTGAAAAGTAACAGGTGGGGAAAGAAACCACTTTCCTTTGGCTGTGGAGACGGGGCGTGAGGGATGGCGCCTTCTGAAGAAAAGGAACCAAGAGGAAAGGAGAGAGAGTAAAGTTCTTCGTTGGGTGGTAAGTATGTCGAGGTCTTTTCACGGACAGTCGTGTTGTTGTAGTCAGGACTGTCCCTGCAACTACCAACGATTTCACCCACTCCCTATTCGATTTTTGCCGGCTCAACACCAAAACAAGAGGTCCCAAAATTTTAAAAAGCTAAAACCCTCCACGACTTCGTCACTACGCCTCACACCTTTCTTCACGACTATTTTATAAAATTCCAGGTGATCCGGAGACATTCCTCCCAGAGGGAATAATTACCCTTGTTAGATCCACGAGAATAGTGAATTTTTCGTTGAGTTCTTCAGTTATTTCTTTTTCCTCGTGTGAAACATTTAAGTGGTGATATTCTTCCTGAAATTGTAATGCTAGTGGATAAATAATGATATTTACACTGAGGATGTCTTCATGGGTGCTGGGTAAGTACTCTGTCATCAAGGCTTACACTCGAAGCACGTGGGAATCGCGAATCGAGCCTTGTCACAGCGCAGTCATTTTCTTCTTTATAAATTTACGCAAGTCTCGATTAGTTCGAGGAAACAGCCAATAAATCAACAGCGAACAAGTTTCATCTTTTCAATTAATCAGTTATTGCCCATATCTTCTCATTTTTTATTAAAAAATTTTGGACAAATGCTTGCTAAAATTGACGTTAAAAAATATACCGTTTTTATGTTTTGAAAGTTTCACCGCCACCGAAGAATTTCTCTACGTTCTCAGCAAAATTTTGCAAAATCTCATAAGCCTTTACTTTTACCCAGTAATTAGGAAAATTAATGCACGACTATCAAAATTTGCGAGTCAGAGAATAATTATAAATGCTAAGAACCATATATTTGTCCACGTCAATCTGATCCAGGGTTTCCCATAAATTTACAAAAAATATGAAAAATGAAGGGATCGGCAATAAATTCTTGATAAATTAATAAATAATAAATTAGTTTCTCAAAAATATGTACCACATTAAACACTACAGAAATTATTTCTGCCAAGTAATTTTTAACATTTCTAAAAATACCTGACTATAAGAAATAGTTTAATATACCCATGAAAATTTTTGTTGAAATCAAGGAGATCATTTTTTGGGTTTAAAATTTAATGTCTCAAAGCTGCTGTCTCTGCTGTAAATTTAATTGACAGTAATATTTGATTTTCTCAGGGGAGAGAATTTCCCCTCTTAATTCGACGATTTTCGTTGACAAGTCAGTTCTAGAATGCAGAAGACACGATAAAACACAAAACAATTGCATATTACTTGGAAAGTATCCTCATAGGTGCAGGAAAATTTTAAAATGCACTTTCTTCGTCGAAATCTTTGTTCTCTGGTTTTGGGAGATGATGAACGATAATAGATCTCGATGCGGAGATAGCCAAGGTGATCTCGATCTGCGGGAATTAATGCCGTCCACAACTCCCCAGTGATTATCATTATCATCAAGTGGTTATTATGATTGAGATTGGAAAAAAAATGTTGGGCGAAATTCGTAGAAGTTATAATGATGCTATCTGGGTTATTCGGTTCAGTAACAGAGTATACGACCATCAAGACGTGAAAGAAGAAATCCGGAGTTTTCGTTCCGGCCATCGAATGCTTCTCATTTCTTTGGATATTATATTTTTTCTCTCTCATTTCACATTGTTGTGTTGAATAGCTTCCTTTGTTGGCGTTCACACGCGCCGTAAAGGCGAATCAACTTGATTCAAAATCAGTATCTCTTCCTTTAATTGAGTGGAACGCCTACACCTACGCGCGGTATTTATGCCTGACACTAGAGAGCTATTCAGGTCATAACTTGGGGAATTTCATTCATGTTGCCTATTTTAATTGCTATCACAATTTTTCAAAATACTTTCACTTTTTACTGAGCGAAAATGTTTAAGCGCTGGAATGCAGACAATTTTTTTTAAAGAAATCTATTGAAACTTAAAGTCACCAAATGCATCTATAATAAATTAAACTCAATAAAAATACAAAATAAATGAATTCAAAGGGGTGAATATTTTAAGAAATTAAGAAAATATATATAAAAATTCATTTTTTAATTTTAAAATTTTAAGAATGCAGGCAGGGGATCATAAGTCGGGTATCGCCTAGGCCGTTCGGGAATTCTTGTGGCCAGAGATCATTTTTTTTCAGGCAGAGAAATGGAATAAATAATCAATTGCATAATCACTTCGATATTGAGCTAAAATACCATAAATTACTCCGAAAATAAGACAATTTGAAAAACGCAGAATGGAGATAGATTTCTTGCTTCAGTAGAAAATGGAAAAAAATTAGAAAAAAATAATCAATTGTTGTTATCAGGACGATTTGCCTCATTCACGTATTGATAGAAGTAGAAAAAAAAATTTTATTCAATTTAAAAAATACAGTAAATAATCGATTCAAAAGCGCAAAAAAAATATACCAAACGCATGGTGGAGGTAGATTTTTTAATGAAGTAGAGCTATTTTAAAAGTACGACCAAATGGCTTTTTTTATTGGAGAAAAACTTTCATCCAGAAAAAGAATATTGAGAAGAAAAAAAAGGAATAATAAAGACTTCAATGACTCTAAAATAGACTAAGCATTTGTCTGTTCTTTTTAGTCATCAGAAAACTCTTACTTACATCCGCATAATTTTATTTTCAAACTGTTATGTTTATCTTGAGAACCAGATGACAATTGCGGATGCTGATATTTGCGTATTCAGCTCGCTTAGAAGCCGCTCAAAGTCGACACTTAAAATTGCATTAAAATAATTGTTTGTCCCGGTGAGTGAAGCCGTGAGATGTAAATGGTCTTTTTTCAAGTGGTTAGTAATTACTGGCACCTTGAAATTGGTCTTAAGGCCAAGGCTTCGATGGAGCTCTTTTTGATGGCATTAGCCTTTATTCCGGGAGTAGACAGCTTCGTCGTGATGGATACGGACCATTCAACTAGTGAATCAGAGTTGGTGGTATATGGGAAGAAAGGCACACTTTCACAGCTGCGGTAACTTTCACCGTCGATGGAGTCGCGTAGGTCTCGCACCGTGAATTGAAAAATCCTGTTTCCTAACTCTGTTACACGCACTCATCTTTCAGACACTGAAACTACTTTATTTTTGCCAAATATTCCTTTTATTCAAAGAGTTTATACTTTAAAAATTGCATCCTAAGATTCCTCCGAATGAATCTTTTCCGAGTAATTTTTAGTATGCTTTAATGATAGCAATAGAGGATGATTATATTTTGCACGTCTTCGTCGGTGGACAACTTAAATGATTATTCATTTGTTCTAAATTTCATTTTCTTGGCAAACTTTCTATTATATTTTTAATGTGGATAATCATTTAGAGGGTGAATTGACTAATTAACATAATGATTTTCGAGAGTGACATAATTGTAGTAATTGAAATTTAACCTGGATTTTGGGGAAATGATTCGGCGGGGAGAATGCGGTATTTAATGACGGAATACTTCTCTCACGTTCATTAATATGTTCGGCAAATATTTTTTCTTCTCAATACACTGCTTTTCTGGGTAGAATTAGTTTGACGAATGCAAAACGAGGAAAATCGATGATTATTGCGGGGTAATAAGGACGTCGAGTAATTTTTCGAGTTTGACAATAAAACTATTTTAGAAAAATTTGAAGAAATCATGGATCTTTAAAACTCATTTTTTGTTTAGGTATTTAATACAAATGGTTAAGGATTCGGAGAACTGAAAGTACAAGAAGAAGATTCGTAATCTCTAAGTGAATTAACTTTAATCGAAATTAATTAATTAATTAAATTGTATAATTTATTTTCTTGTAGAAATCCCCTTTAGAGTCGGTTAGAAAAATTATGGATATTTGGTCATGCGGATTAGATTATTTAGACACTATTTTATTAACAATGGTCTCCTTTTATTCATAGATAAATTCAGTGAAAAAATTTCAATTTTTTTGAGAAAAAAATGGTTGTTTGTAAATTATTTATGAAAAGAAATGCAGTCTTCAAGAAATTTAAATCTGTAGAAGTTTAACATAATATGCGGAAATGTGTGGTCAAATAGGTAGAAATGAAAGTTTTGATGTTTGAATACCAATGTAAAAGAATTTCAACGAAAAAAAAATGGCAAAGTACTTGGATATCCGTAATGGTTAGTTGCGTGAGTTGAATATATTCGAGAGAAATTAGATATGAACAGATTTTTAAACAGGGAAAGAGCAGGTTTCGAGGGATTCGCCGAGCAATAATAAAGACTAATGCTGACTTTCGATAAAATAATAAATTTTTAAATACTAAAACAAACAAATGCCAGGATAAATTTCTTCGGTCACTAAAATACCTTCAGCTGTCCATTTACCAGATTACAAATTTCATGAAGAAGAGAAACTTCGGAAATTGAAGAACATCAGACTTAACATCAGAATTGAATTAAAATACAATGGGCAGGATTAAACAAGTAAGCTGTATAACGTTTAAAACGTTATATTTAAAAAATTTGTATTTTTTACTTTTGATTATTATTATTTTTCCCAAAGTCTTCAAAGCGAAATGCCATTAGAATTATGTTGAGACTTTATATGGTTTTCAAGGGACAAAAAGTTTGGCCTTTATATTTAGATTAATTATCATTATTTCTGACTCAGAAGTCAGAAAAAAATGAGATTGGAGTGGAGTTGTGTCCCACATTAAAAAATTAATGTTTGGAATTTATTGCCAATCGGAGAAGACAAATAATACCACGAAATCGTCTTCGAGTTTGTCCCAGAAATAAATGACGAAACCGTGAATTCGGGTCTTCCAAGAAAAATGGAAAGCCCGGATCTTCGACGCATGCTGTGTTATATCACACTGGGTGTTAACTCATTGCGCAATCAGGAATTTCCGATTTGAATTTTCATGCAGGTGTGGCCTTCGATGGGGACCCACTTTATTTATCATGGTAATGAGTAATAATACTTTCAATGATTATCATTTTCTTTTACCTTTGTTGCAGGAATTTTTATCGCTTCACTATCGACACTGGGGGCTTGGACCTATAATGAGGAGTATCCGCAGTATCTTCACCCTCGTGAGTTTTTTATTATTCAAAATTATCTCAACTAACCAGTTGAAAAGATTCCATCTGATAGAATTAGTGGAAGGGTTTTAATCACATCTAATTTCACAATTTTTTTCCTGATCACTGAAATCTTGAAAACGCGCAAAAATCCCTCATGATACAGCCACTTCAGTCATCAATACTCAAACATTTACATAATAAATTTTAAATGGAGATATATTATTTTGTTAAATTAGAAATTTTCTATAAGAACGGTATATTTGTTTTGTAATTATGAAGAGAAATGTGATGGAGAAAATCATAAAACATATTCGACACTCGTTTAGCGAAAATTCCCTTTTTTTCATTTTTCTGGCAAAGTATCGATGGGATTGACGTAAAAAAATGTAACGTGTGACATTTCTGGCGTGTCCCTCGAGTTACTGAGTAGCCTTGAAAAAACGCCAAGTGGATCCTCCACCTTGCAGTAGCCTCTGCAGGGCCTGCGGGTTGAACTCACCGGGTGTTTGCTCAAATTGGGATTTTACTTTCCGATGTGAGATGAAATCTGAAATTTAAATATTACGCAAGTTAGCCAAAAAGGTCGTACAAATACTTTTTTCGATTCAACTTCAGTCTTGTGCGAAAAGGTAGTAAATAAACTCCTGCCCAGGGAATACGTTTCCACGTTTCAGCCAATTTTAAATCTTCTGAGACACACTTTGGCGACAATTTCTTTGCAAAAAAAAATCACTCAAAGGTCTTCTCAGATGATTCGCAATCCACTGAAAGGTGTAGATTATCATTATCTTCATCGCCTGGAAACGTCTTTATACGACCTTTTTGCACAAAATTGTTGAAAAAGTAGAATTCGAAAAAATGCCTGTACAATTTTTTTATGATCAACTTAAGTCATATGTTAAATTTGATTACATTGTGAAAAAAACCGTCGTATAAATGCGTACATTCTCGATCCTAATTGTTTCATAAACGCATTATTTTAAAACATCGTCTCAATAACCTGGGACACAATCCTATAATAATAGTGTTTAGATCTCTTTTAAGTTATCCTAATATTAATTCATTAATAAAGAAACAATAATTTTATCCTCTTTCTATATAAAAGGGAGATGGACATTTATATCAAATCGAATCGAAACTCTCGAAAGTTGAAGCCTAAAATCTGCCACACTCATTCCTCACTGTTGATTCATTGGTCGCGACTTATACTCATTCCCGCTCACAGTCCATCTTTCATTGGCGCACATGTACTGTACACTAAATTTTCTTTCATTGACGCGTATATATTGCCCTGTACGAAATTTCTCATGGAGCATATACATAACGTCGTGTTTAAATATTCTAAGGTGTTTCTATAAAATTTCAGGAGTAAGTTTGTAACAGTACAATGTTACAGATTAATAATCTGTGGCAGACGACACATTGTAATGCGCGCGTTCAGAGTCCCGTATTTACAAAATGAAGGTAAAATTACATTTAATTCTCAGCTGCCTATGGAGTCCGGCCTCAACAGTCGCACAATCCCTTGAGGAGATGGAGTGATTCCTGGGACGATGGACCCCGGAGAAGTCATGCTTACCGTCGAGAGACAGAACCCTCGAAGATCCAATACACGAGATTAATTCGACAATCAGAACCCAAGTCTGACCCACTGATGACAATTAGCGAGACCCTTGGAGCTCTTAATACAGTCGGTAATTACATAGTCAACATGACGAGGGGAATGGATTCGGAGAGGCCGCCAAAAGAGTTACCTTCTGCCATTTACACCATTTCGAAGAATATTCTGGGAAGAAATGTGACTGACAGCATTGCACCTCTGGTACGAGGGGTGACACTGCCTCTGAGACCTGCGACAACATCTACGACAACCCCTGAAACACACAATGCACCTGCAGGCGAAACAGTCGTTAATAGGGACAAAGAGAGTGCCTCTTCTACTTGCACCACCTCTGAGGGAGGTCCTGGCAAGTGCCAGGATTTGAGTAATTGTCCACAACTCCTCTTGGATCTCACCAAACTGAGGCAATCACTGTGCTTCAAGAGCTTGTTCGTTCCTGGGGTTTGTTGTCCTTTTGATAGGGCCGATGGATCCAGCAGTGTCAGGTAATTGTTATTCATTCCATACTATTTTTTTTACTGCCGCTTCGAAGCATTTGGAGTTTTCTAATTGGAGTTGGTGAGTTTTGGCTTTTTTACCTGTGAATGGAAGCCTTGTAGTGAAGCGATATCTCGATTTCAATTCTAAATGGTCTAGAGGATAATGAAAAAGAAAAAACAATGTTTTGAGACCATGTCTGTATGTATGTGTCCGATAACTTGTATTTCCGGGGATCAATTTTTTTTCGAGAAAATTTACCCTAAATATGGTAAATTTCAGTTCGATCGGTTAATTAGTTCCTTACATACAACTTAATAATAACTTCTTTAAATTTCTTTATCGTCACCACGCCCAATAAACCGCGATTCTGGCCACTCTCACTTCGTTCGGTTAATTCGCAGTTTTCAGGCCTAGCGCCAAAAAATGTTGTATACCACACGACGATAGAAATATTATCTTCTGGATATGATTCCAAATCCACACTTGTCAGATAATACTTTTACCACCTGATGATATGCACTATTTTCGCGCATAATACACTATTTTCGTTCATATTTCAAAAAATCTATTGGACCGAAAAATCCACCCATCAACTTAAGCTTCGGCGGAAAGTTGCATTTTATGACTACAATGTTTACTGGTGTAAATTGACTGGGCCAGATGATTCGTTTAGGAGATATTGCCAATTGTATTGGTAGAAATATAACTGAGAGGGAAAAGCGGATAACTCTTGAATCGTTCTTTTATTCATATAGAAAGAATAATAGAAAATAGTTGGGCTATTCTGAAATCTACATATTGGAAATTGCCTTTGCGGATTTTTAGAATATTCATTTATTAAAGTTTCTTTCACATTTGTGTAAATATAGCTTGTAGAAAACTTTTTGATTCGATTACGGACCCGCAATTTTTAACTTATTAACATCTATCCTACTACTTATTTACCTAAAGGTGAGTATAGTCTTCGCCATCCGTGTCCTTGAAGAGGGATGGATCTGGCGTTTAGCGCGATAGATCTTTGATCGTCCGGTAGAAATACCAGAAGACTCAAAGGTAAAAATAACTGGAGCAACCGCGATACTAGGCACTGCTAATACGGACGAGATTGGCGAAGTTCTCTTGGGCACCTTACTGACTAGATCATATGCACGCCTTTTGTTCTTTTTGACATGACGCCTGGCGGTAGCTCTCAATTGAGGATCGCCACGACATACGTCGCCCCAGTTTTGGGACACTCGGGCTGCATTCAGAAGCGAGTGGGGGCCTAGCATTCTGAAAATATTCTGGGTTATTTCCACTGGGAAATGTATAATTGGATTCGATTCAGGTTTGCCAACACCAAGAATGCGCATCAGCATCCCGAAGAAAACTGCAGAGTGATCTGAACTGCTGAGGACTGCCCTCTTATACCATAACTCCCACCCTTATCCCTCCCCCCCTCTCCGTTTACCCTCTCCCTCCTGCTCCCCCACTCCAACGATATTGTTTCGACCAATCATTGAACTCAAAATTCGTTACATCTGATTCCTTTGTTTTACAGCAGAGGTGGGTAACCTCAGGTATACTAAAGTCAGCATAAGTTTTTACTTCTCTGGGTACCCCCACTCCACGTAGTTACCACTTGTAACCATGTCCCCCACTCCTAAAATCAATGTTAAAACTTATGCTGATTTAAGTATAGGCTCGGAACTGTAGCCATAAAGTTATCAAGGTGCCAATTATAAGGGACCTAATGTGATTACAAGGGTTGCCGTATATTTGTGTGGTGGGAGTAGCATCGAGCGATGGCGCATACGTCTGATTGAAATGTGAGGGCAAAATGGTTAGAAGTTTTATGCACCGGTTTGGACATTTTCTGTTTGATTGAAAAAAAATGCAATTAAAAAATTATGGTTTAGATTCAATATTCATCGGTGGAAATGAAAGTGAGATGCTCGTGAACTTGAGAAAGAAATATTTCATCGTCAATTAAAGATGCCGATAATTTTTTTGATTGTGAGAAATTTTAATTTCGCATCGAGCGGGAGATATAGAAATGAAAAGTTTGAAAATGCATATCAAGTCAGATCTATTAACAACATGATAATGTTCAATAATTGTTTTTCAAACAATATTTTAATAATAATTTGAAAATTACTTCAAGAAATCTATGAAAGGTACGAAATCTTTTTTTTATAAATACGATTAAGAGCAACGAATAATCAATCAAAAGCATAACCACAAAAAAAACAATAATTGAAAAAATATTTCCATTGAAGAAATAGAAAATTTTTCTATTTTACTTTTCTCACCACCAAGTTTCTGCCGAATATCCCCATTACTTTTGCCTACGCGCAGGGCATCAGGGGCCCGAAGAGGGGGCAGCCATAAACTTTATGGCTTCGGACAATGTTGCCTAGTGTAGGTCGGGAGCTGGAGTGGCTCCGAGAGCTGAGGTTGCCCACATCTGTTTTAGACTCTAATTTAGAGTACTAGATTCATTTCGAATTCGAATGTTGCAATTAGAATTCATGAATTTGTTCACATCGAGGCACAATGAGTTGAGGATTTTTGTGAGATGTAACTTTTACTTTTGCAGTGCGAACTAGGAACTAGAAAAATTACTCAGGCTTATCTTCTTGCCATTCCAATAAAACTGTCAAAAAATGATTCCTTGTTTCGGAGTAGGCGAATTGTTCCCTAATTTTTTTTTTGAATATTTGTCTCCGTGTTGCCTAAGCTGCTCCCACCTTCGTTCATTATTGCGAGAAGCATGGACTAAGATAGGCAGACTTTGATTAGTGGAAAATTTATAAAGTTAGCATTACATGTTCGATCAGGCATTTGACGATGCACTTCATCATCGCTCCGTCAAGACTTGAGTTCGGTTTACATTAAACTATATAGACTTTGAGAGAGGGGAATCCGCTATGCCCTGGTAGCTCAGTTAGTAGGAGCACTTGACATAAAATGCGGGCCGCCTTGTTAAGATTCAAAAGGGCGAAGAACATCGATTATTTTCTTACTGAAAAGAGAAACAAGCAGTTGAATGAGCCTATTTGGCACGAGACATTTAACCATTACTTTATGCGTTACTTTCTTTTTTCTCATTTTTCCTTTCTACCAATACAATTGGTAGCAAGCTTCCGAATGCATCTATAGCTATTCTGATAACGATTTCTTTGAAAAATAGTATATTTCGTAACAAAGACGAAAAGTGATTTTTGGCTTGTGGGAGATTCTAAACTTCTACAAAGTCACACAATTTTACCGAAAACGTCGACAAACAGATGTACGGCTATAAAAATCTGTGAATCATTGAAGAATGATAAAATCTACGAACGGTATAGTTTTCCATATTTGTCCACGCAATTGGCTGCACCGCAATGTAAAAAAGTGTCTCTAAAAGGGCACAGAAGAAAAGAAATGATAATTGGATAAGAATTGAATCGGAAGTCTCTTGGTTGCTATTTTTTATTTTTGGAAAAGGCATAGGAAAGCATTACCATTAGAGAAGCGTAATGAATACCCATCGTATGATGCATCAATGTGCTTAGTAATGGTAGACTTTCTATGATTAGCTGGAAATTTAAATGAAGATAAAACTGGATTTTTGTAGCTCAACGACGAGTTCATCAGTCAGTGAAAGTGGACGTCCCCCACGGCCATCTCACCGTCCACTGAAGCCAGTGACACCACGACCCATTCCTCTCTATCCGATAGCAACTTCCTCTCCAAGTACTGTGCTTAAACCTCTCCCGACAGGAAACAGCTCCAATAACCTCGAGGGGGTCGACAGCATTGAGAACAATTTCATTCAAGACGACGAAGGCAAGTCTACTCAATGATTTTGCTTCATTATTAATCCTTTCTTATCAGTACTACCTCTATATATTCCCGCACTTGATACTGTCCATCAAATTATCATTCACAATTATATTATATTGAAATATAATATGTTATATTGCCCTCGGTTTAATGTCATCAGTCAAAATGTTCTGTACAAAAATATACATGTATTATCACAAATCCCCAGAAGGAAAAATTACCGCTTTTGTCAAAAAACAACTACGACAAGTACGAACCTTCAAATTGGTGGTTTTGTTTTTCAAAAAAGCAATGAAATAAAGAGACTGCTGGAAGTCCTCAGGTTTGTAATGCGTTAGATGATGATGTATTGAATCTTAAAGTTGAAAGATTTGAAAACAGAAATCGATGAGTTGAAATCCAAAAGTTGTATGAAACCAGAACAAAACATAGAACAACAGAAAATTTCAACTATTCGTCAATTGCATCGAAGGTTTCTCAGAAATTCAGGAAAAACACTCGACAAATTAGAAGATACTGGTTATAATGCACACTGAAAAAAGAAAATCTTGTGCGAAATATATTTTGTTGTAGTTAATAAATATACTTGAGATGAAAAACTCACTTCTTCATAATATTTCTGGAAATTGGAAATGTAATTTTCGGGTCTTATACATCGTGTCATATTTTCAAATATTCCAGATTCAATTCAGAATACACCCGTATCGATACTTTTGGTAGAGTCATCCCTTTTCATACGGACATCTACATGTCATCAGCATTAATTCTATAAATTTTCTCCTTGGTTTCACTGATATCCCTACTTTGTGATTGTAAATATGTAATGATTACCTTTTTTAATAATCCGGAAGAATGTGGAGTGAGGAACGCTGGAAAATATCGAGTTGTTGGAGGAGAAGAGGCTCTTCCAGGACGTTGGCCCTGGATGGCAGCAATTTTTCTCAGTGGAACTCGAAAAACTGAGTTCTGGTGCGGAGGCTCTCTGATTGGCCCTCGTCACATATTAACTGCTGCCCATTGCACCAGGGATTTGCGCCAAAGACCGTAAGCATTTAAACACAAAACTCTAATCCAATCTTTTTGTTAAATTTTGAAATGTTATTAAAAATTCGATTGAAATTGCAAATTGAAATGGGATTATGTCATGAAATTTTATGAAAATTAGGAAAACTCAGTTAAAAATATTCTTGAATTTTTAATGGAGTGACAATTCCATTCAATTACATATTAAAAAATTATAATTTCATTGAAAACGCGTGGATACGAAAAGAGTCTCATCATGTTAGTTGAAAAAATTAGAATTACATCAAATTTTTTCTAAAATTTGACACTTTAGAATTTTTGGTTCGACAATCAAATGTATTTTATTCATTTTCTGCATTCAAAGATGTTTACATTCTGAAATAACATGTTTTCAATGCTATTAATTAATTATTCAATCATTTTTTTGAGTCACGCTTGCTAAGATCAGAATCATCAAAGAAAACTCAGAGGGTAATTAACATTTAAGAAATTTCTATTTTCAATTCACTAGCTAAGAAATAGTGAAGTCAGTAGGTTCTCTACTGTCGAGGTTTCTGAAATGATCTGACGAATGTCCCTCGAGAGTTCTTTTTTAGAAGGGAATGATATCTTCAAAGAAGGTATTCACAAAAATGTTCATATCTGTCTTAGATTTAGAGATATTCCTTGGCAATTTACCTATTAGGTGAAGCCACATATTTCTTTTTACCATTTAGCAACTGAATTGTTGATTACTAAAAGTTCTTCTACAAAATATTTCTTTAGGTTCGCAGCGCGGCAATTTACAGTACGTCTAGGCGACATAGATCTTGAACGTGACGACGAGCCATCATCTCCAGAGACTTACCAAGTGAAGGCAGTCCGCGCACACGATAAATTCTCCCGTGTTGGTTACTACAACGACATCGCCGTACTAGAACTGACTAGACCTGTGAGAAAATCTCCTTATGTCATACCAATCTGCTTGCCCCAAGGTCGCTACCTCTCGGAGGCTTTTGCTGGTGCAAGACCTACTGTCGTCGGATGGGGAACCACTTATTACGGTAATTTTCATTCTTTCTCATTTTCATTTATATCCACTAATTTCTCAGAGCACAGAGGTAATGTTGGCTTTAGTGGATAATGCAATTTCCACCCCATGAAGCAAACGATGTTTTCGGATCTTCCTACACGGAAAGAAAAAGTCAAAATTACAAATCCGTTGGCTAACCGTGCAGTGTTTTAGTCCATCGGAGAAAGTTACCGGTGCGGTAATTGCACCGCTTTGGAAAATTTTATATTGACAGATAATTACCGCTTAGTTAAAGGATAACGGCTGGGTACCAGTTATTAAGCAGTTGACAAATGTTATTCAGTGGTTTGATTCAGTGGTTCAAGACGATTAAACAGCTCAGATAATTTTTACTGAATCTTTCACTCTGTATAGCCGTAAGACATATTTTTGGAGATATATTTAGAAAACACCTACAGTGAAAATTCTGTGAGAACTTACCCCTTTTATGAGCAAAATCCATCAATCTGAAAATAAAAATTTGGAAAAGAATGTGGTTTGTGAACAAAGAAAACCAAGAACCCCAACAAACTATTCATCCACTTTCATGATCGTGTGAATGTTTTTGTCGAGTTTTGTGAATTTATCAAAAAAATTAGAAAAAATGTCGATACAAATTCAAGTAACACTGAAAGTTGATGATTAATTGAATAATAATAAGACTCAAAATCGAAAAGCTTTTCGTATGAATTTGATCAACAGTTTGTCAAAGATCTGCAAAAAAATGGGGAAATAACAGTAAATCCTTGCATTTTGTAAATTTATAACCGTTGGTAAATTTCTTTGAACGGACAACTATCTTGTTGTGACAATTGGTGATTGTTACTTAATCCTCTAATACTTAATGGGGAAGAGAGGCAAGTCCTTTAGATAACTAAAATAAAATTGATGTAAATGTGTTGCGGTAATTCATGAATTAGTCATTACGCCTGTTTGTTATTGTTTTTTTTTCTTGCTTAGTTTTTGTTAAGAAATTGTATAATACCTGCTGAAAAAATAAGGATTGGAAATATGATTGTTTCATTTTGAAGAAGACATAGTTTGGCACTTACACGCCTTTGCTATTAAAGCGATAATATTAACTGATAGCTTCAATGTATGCTCAACGAAATCTAGATTAAAAAATGGATTAGTTCCGATTAAATACCTGTCTTTAACCATAAATAAAACCAATTCAAGTCTTAAATGAGTCTGAGTATAGAAGCAATCAGTAAGAACAGAGTAATTACGCCGAAAGTACCACTTCCTTCAGCGTATTTTAGTATATAATACCTATAATATGCACAATAGAAAAAGAGCTTGAACAAATAAACATTGAAAAAAAAAGAATTCATTCAGATGCGAAGGGTTAATCTATTAAGAGTTATTAGGATCATCACTACACTAATTTTTCGGTTAATAGTTTCGACCCTATGGCGAACAGAAACAAGTTTTTTTCTCAATATTTTTTATGAGAGTCCAGTCTCAATTTCGAGAGGTATTGAAGCACGATGAATTGAATGGCCGTTTTTTATGGAATTTCTCCAGCTTTCACACTCCCTCAATATCTTGGCAATTAATGAAACCGATATAATATCATCTTTCAACACGAGAGAGATTATTCTTCATTGAGTTTTTACTGCTTTGAAATTTCTGCAGGGATGTATTATTCAAGTGGAACGTAATTTAATTTGTTTATAAGAGCATTCAAGTCACCAGGTTGTGTCAAATTTAATACTTTCGATGAACCACGATTATTGAAATAAACACTTGAAGTTTGGTCATTAATCTTCTTAATAGAATCATTTTCTAAGCATCTGCTGTAAACTTTAGAGCATTACTCTAGTTCTAAGAGCATTAATAATCTACAAATAGCATTTTTATACACTAATTTAATGACACAATTGTTCGTGTAGAAATAATTATTTTTATTTAGGATTTGATCTAGGATTCAGTATACCCAAGAATAGGGTTTTTTAAAACCTAATTAGGCTTAGTTCATTCACATTTTTTTATTAAAAAGTCAATAATCGTGACACAAAAAAGCCAATTGTCCTGAGTTTTAAAGATCAATGAAAATTGAATTGAAACCTACAGAATTGGAAATTCAGATGGTATTGTACTTGAAACTTCAAGAAATTGGCGAAAGTGAGGGAAAATTAGTGAAATATTCGGCCTCTATCTCGATAAAGTGCACAGCTCGAGTTTATGTTGATTCTCCTGACCCTTTATCTCTCCCGGAACTTGAGAAACCGTAATACAACACATCTTTCCACTTACCTTAATCGAAATTCTTCTTTATTCCGTTTTTATTACTCGTAAATTGGCCTCGTGTTGAAGTGAAACATAAATAAACTCGTATTAGGCCATTTCTTTCACCGACTGTGTGATTCCCCTCTCTTGTCCAGTCGACCTGGATGAACACGAAATATATTTTTGGTAATTTTCCGCAGGGGGAAAGGAGAGCACAGTGCAAAGACAAACAGTTCTGCCTGTGTGGAGGAACGAGGACTGTAACGCCGCATACTTTCAGCCAATAACTGGCAATTTCCTGTGTGCTGGATACAGCCAGGGTGGCAAGGACGCCTGTCAGGGAGATTCAGGAGGTCCTCTGATGCTCAGGGCGGAGGGCAAATGGATGCAAATTGGAATCGTATCCTTTGGTAATAAATGCGGAGAACCTGGATATCCTGGTGTCTATACCAGAGTCACTTCCTACGCCGATTGGATCAAAACTAATGTCAATTGAGCATTTTCCTCGCTTTCTTCCATTTTTCAGGATTCAAGTAGATTTTTCAGATTCATGCTTTTATATTCATTTTATTGGGAACAATTTCTCTTCAATGCACTTATGTTAAATTTCTCTTGAAATTTTCTGAAGAAAAGGTTGATTGTTTTTCGCCAACTCATTCAAATGACATTTATCTGCGTTTCGAGAGACAGGGTGGGATAAAATGAAACAATGTCTTTACATTTTGCAATAGAAAATTGAATGGGTCTAGTGAAAATGACACAATTTTAGGATAACATTAGCCGAACGTACTGCAATTATTTTAATGCAATGTCGGTATAAAAATTTCTATCTGTATTTGTACATCATGTGCCATTTTACCCCGTTCTGCATTCCTCTGCTCCTTTCGCCTACCAAATCAGTTGATACCTTGAATATTCATTGAAACTCAAACTTTGCCAGTCTAAATGACTAACAAAAATACAATCTGTCTAAAAAATCTTCAATTTGAAGAGCAGACACTGGAGACATTGTCTATTGCTGATTGAATTTTCGACAGAAACTGTCTTTGGAAATTTCGGAAATTTCGAGAAGCTTCTAACAGCTTCTATGCATCCGCATAATACGCTTTAGAGGAATATCGTGAGAATCATATATTAGAGAATCCTGGGTAAAAGATCATTAGTCGTCTGAACAATCCCTCAATTTCTCTCCAGCAGTTTGTGCGAAAGAAGTCCATTTTTTAACAACCCGTAGGTTTTATACCATTCAATTCTTAGTACAAGTTCAAATTTGTTACAAGCTCAATATAAACTCCTATTATTCGAAAATGTTGGGATGTAAAAAAAAATCAGAGAAAAATATTAGAATATTTTGGAACTATTGACCGAAATATATGTTTGCATACACTTGAATCTCTTAAAAATTTGTAATGAGAACTGGGAAATAGCAGTCATTCGTGACTTAATATCATATTTATATTTCTCGAGTCATTGAAAGAGGGACACGATTCAATAAATTTCATAGCGGCCCACGGGCTACTTAAGTGGAACACAGCAAATCTATTGTGAGAATTGAATTATTCTCCGCTCGACTTGTTTTTTAATACGAAAATTATAGGAGTGGGAAGAATATTGTATTCTGCTCTGTATCACTTGAGGTGGAGTTTCAGAAGATTGAGACCGAGAATTTTTGTTATCTGTACATAATATCTGCAAGTTTTAAGCAGTAATGGCCGAGTATATTATATTAATAAATTATTTAAATGTATTATAATTTGATATCTGTACATTGTGTGATAGCAATAAAATTCGTCGAATTCGAAACAATTGAGTTGTAGTTTTTGGAGTTTATTCACTGACATTTAGGTTGCTTCCAAAATTATCAAGTTTTAACGTCAATTATGGAAAATTCCAATAAAATAAAGGGAGGTAAGAAAGGAGAGAGTGCCTCGACCGAGGACTTGAAGAACATTATTAAACAAATGATTAAAAAGGCGCTGGATGATAATGGTAATATTGTTTTTTCAAGATTTTTGCATCTTACAACTTTTCACTTTCTTTTTTATTTAAGGTCTTGCTTTTATCTCGAGGATAATTTCTGATAACTATTATTCTTCAATAAATAGTATTTGAGGTAGAATTTCTTTCACGTCAGATTAATATAAGAAATCATTATTGAAGTAAGACTACTGTGATCTTTAAATATTTATATTTTATGAATACAAAATTCAGTAATTAATCTGAAAATACGGATTTCTTGCTGATAATGTTTTTTTGTCAATTTCCGGGAAACCCTGAATTCATGATTGACACGGAAAAATATACCGTCTAAAAGTTTTCTTGGAAATTTCTCTCCTTGTGAGAAACAAACATAAGTTTTTTCATTCTAATTATGCGTTGTAACATGTAAGCCATTGATGGAAGACATACAGATTCTTACAACATACATAAATATATTTGGTTTTTTGAAGGAAAAATGTCTCTATCAAACAATATTCAATCCAAATTTCCAATCAATTAATCCAGAATTAGCCCAATGGATAAATAGATAGGAAAAAAGCAAAAAAAATTTCAACAATTTATAAAAATGATTCATAGTCTTCGACCACGATTTCTTATTTTTTCACAACTAGAAAATGCTTGAAAATATTTCCATATTCTAAGGAGTACGATTAAAATAAAATAAATTGGTAATGATTTTTTTCCAATTTCTCTGATGCAATATTAGTGAAATAATTCAAACGTAGAAAAGATTTCACAAGTGGTGTAAGGCTACTTTAAACAGTTAAAATTTGTTTATGCCATTCAGATCACATGCTGAAGCTCCACAAAAAAGTCTGTGAGGAATGGTCATCATTTCTTGAATACAAACCTCCAAATATCCCAACGAAGTATCCCCCCCCGAAGAAAAAATCTCCAATGACAATAAACGTGCGAAAAAAAATGGAAAAATGCGAACCGATGGGAGGAAGTACCTCAAATCCCTCAAAGACCAAAAAAATCATGCAAAGGACACCGGAAAATCGGCCAAAGATTCAAAAGCTCTTGAAACAAGAAGAAAACGCACAGAAAATGAAGGAGGAAGAGGTATTCCTAAACACTCTCTTTACACTTTAATTCCTCACGATTACGAAAACGTTATGCCTATGATTAGAATAACGCACAGTTGCGGAGGGAGAGAGCGTGGGAATTCTACCATCAACAGAAGAGAGTGCAGAAAGGCTGGAAGATGCGTAAGAACTGGGAATTGAATTCGTGGTTTAATCAGTTGGACTCGGTTCTTCACCAGAAGTACTTGAGGGAACACAGGCATCGGGTTCAGTCCTTTTACTGCCAACCAACATATTATGGTACGGACATTCCAGGAGCTCTTTATCAGCAGTACGGACAGTGCGAATTCACTCACTGAATCAGTTGTACCAATTTCAAAACTCATTTTACACAATTAATTCTTGTATTTACTTAACGATATACATTTGCCATAAATGGAAATGACATTGGCTATTTATAATAGCTCCGTATTTCTTTTAAACTAAAAATAATCTGAGACAAATTAATTGAAGAATATAATTTTGGAGTAGATCTTTGGTTTTTCTTAATTTGTTATTTCATAGGGACGACATAAATTAATATTCATAAGGAAATAATAAGGAGATAGTTAATATCAATAATTCTTTCAAATTAACCTGATTCTTGTATTTACATAACGCAATTCATTTGCGATAAATGAAAATTACATTCGATATTTATAATAGATTCCAACATTCCTTCAACTAAAAAAGAGTTGAGAGAAATTAATTGGTAATTTAATTAATTACTAAAAAATATAATTAGGAATAAATCTCTGAATTGAGAGATATCTCAGTAGATCATTGATGTTTGTTCTCTGGTAGAGACTAGATTTTTTCTTTGGTATGAGGAATGATTCGAAGCTTAGAATGAACTCGATGCGATAAGAAACGATAAGAAATGTAGGTGACGAAAGTTAAGAAAAGCAAAATCCTCACGATTTATCCATTTCGTTCTCCTTCAAACTGAGTAACGCCTTCTGTACAAGCGCTTCAAGGTTTCGAGGCAAGCCTAAATATATTTTCGACGGAGTATTACTCTCTGACTTGGATGCAAGAGACTCAGTACCTAATAACTCATTGATCTCCGAGTCGTCGCCATTCTTTTCAATATTTTCCTCTAAACTCTTCTCTTCGTAATTTTGGAGACTGGAGTCTCTGATATTGTCCTCAAGATTGTCCACCTCGACGCCAGCATATCCCTCGAGTAATTTTGCAGTGGGAGAAGGAACCGCGGTGTCCAATTCACAAATTCTCGCTGCCAAAATTCTACAACACACAAAAGTTACCTCTACGCTTGTAAATCTCTCAATTGGGTTTGATGTTAATTAAATCAATGCTTTCTCACTTGTTAGCTTTCTTCTGATGGACAAGGGCCAATGTCTTATCATTAAGAGCCTCGAGCAGTGCAGAACAGAGGCACCGAAGGTCAGAGAGGGCTGCTGTTGATTTATGGGAAGAGATATTCATGCCCTGCTGCAGCAACTGCTCAACTTGCTTCAGAGTTATGATTTTTCCAGCAGCCCCATTACCCCCTAATTTGATGCTCCCCTTCACTCTTTTGCTGTCAAGCATTCCCTGCCACCAAAAATACCAAAATCATTGGTATTCAATTTTTATTTTATTTACAGTAGTTCTACCCTCTGTCCAGATTCCACTACGCTTTATATGTTTTTAGCTCACGAATTTTCCAACTGCCTTAGAAAAATTTGAAACATATCACACTGAGTCAGTAAAATGAAATGAAATGGAATTTTGTAAAATATGGATATATCTGTAGATATTCTTTTCTAATAAATTAATAACAGAAGTCACTTGCAAAATATTTGGGGTTGAAAAAATAAATCCCTTCGAGTTATGATGACTATGTGGCCATTGATCAAGATTTCGAAAATGGTTAGATTTCACCCTTCTACCCGGTCAGGAAGCGAACTTGGACCCTAATCGCTGTGAGGCAATGAATGAAGTATGAAGTATGCAGCATGCTTCTAATGAGATAATTCATTCCAATATAACGTCCCTATCTTAGCCCCTATCCTCGTTCGCAGACTAATTATGTGATCATCTTAATGAGATATGCGCAGGTAATTCGTCTTAATTATAATTCGGTAGTGAATCATAGAATAACCAGTCGACTTGTTGCTCAGTCGATTTTTTTTTAGGAATATCTAAGAATCTAAGAGAGTTAGTGAAATATTTGTAGTGACCTTTTTTGTAGGCCTTATCTCGTTCCTCAGTTTTTCTTAGATTCTCAGGAATTCCTCAAAAACTTGATAGGAGAACAAGTCGACTTTAGACCCTTTAACTTTTTCAGATTTGAAATACCTTGTATTTTGATAGCGATTGTCTGGCCAGTTCTTTCTCCTCTGAAACCTGCTGTAAACGGTCCTGCAGATATCTATTTTCGTTTATAAGAGAATCCAAGTCCACCGGTTGTGTAGCATTAAGTGCCTTTGATAACTCGTGATTCAACCGATGGGATTTGCATTTGAAGGCATCTCTCTCAGTCTCGAGCTCGTGTTTCTCGTCCAAAACTGACTGCAAGTCCGCCTGCAGCTGAGTGCACTGAAAATAAATATGATAAGATGAGAAGCTTCCTGACTATTTCCACTGCCTGCCAGTTGAATGTACAGATGGATTTACCTGGACATTGAGTTTTTCTAATTGTTCGATCATCTCTTCTCTCTCGTGAGCAGCTGGAGCAAGTGGCAAGCTGTTCTGCTCGTTATTTGATTGATTACTTCTTCTTAGAACTTTAATATCACCCTGAGCATCTTCCAATTTTTGGCGTAGAGTTTCCACCTGAAGTTTCAGACATTTGTTTTGTTCTCGGAGTTCTGTTATCAGGTCCATCATCCTGAAGTCTCCATCCAGATTGTATTTTCTAAAGAATTCAATGAGAGATCACCATTTTTTCCGAAAAAAAGGAATTGGTATTAAATTGAATGAATTAAATTAGAAGAAACAATAGTATCAGATTGTGAACGATTCAATAAATGTTAATCATTTTTGAACTGCAATTGCAAATCACGTTAATAATCAATGATATTAATAAAGTATCATCTATTATTATTCTAATAGATAATGTTTTTTGAAAAACTTTAATTTTTCAATTAGCGATCAATTTCGCAGATTGTTAATATCAATTTTAACTTAATAAAGCAAAATACGTTTATATGCTATAAACAAATAATTTATATTTAATTCATATTCCTCAATAATAACAGCAATAATGATTCTTTTACCCTATAATGGGCCTTGAGGCAATGCCTCTTCGTCAACTTGATTGATCTTTGAGTAACAGAATAGTACTATGGCGACAATGACCTAAGTGGTACCTGAGTTCTTTGGAGTCATTGATCTGCCTCTTGAAATGCCAGAACCTCTCCTGAATCTGTTCAGCCATCATCTTGAACTGATCTCTCTGGCTCCTGCACTGTTCCAGTTCCTGACTCAGTACAATCAGAGCCTCTGACTTCAGCTCCAACTTTTTCCTTAACATTTCAAATCCATCACCACCCTCTGCTGATCCCTTCTGGTCCCCAGTCCCTGCCATCTGCATTGTAATTAAAAATAAACCCCCTCACAAAGTATTTACAAACAATCAACAGACATACTCCACTCCCAGAGGTTAAATCGCTTGCAATTTTCCTCCAATGCTCCAATCTCTCAAAAAATACTTTCACTGTTGAGCTCTCCCGTCAGAGGCGCTTGCAGCTGACACTTCAAACAAAAGTCCTTTCCCGCCGAAACTTCAGTCCTCTGAAATCCTCCAGAACAGCTCAAAAAGTCCATAGAAACCACGGAAACCGCTCAACAATTTTTCAAACAACCATTTTTGTTTTCTGATCCGTCAAATGAATCAAGTTTCTTCTACTGAAAATCCTGGATAAAGTGACAAAATAGTAGTTTAGCTTCTCATTTGACTAGCCACCATGACGTCATGCACTGCCAAAGCCATCATTCTACCAATCGTATTGGCTGGCCAAACTGTTTGATTTTAGCCTAGCCAAAAGAGTCGTGTGTTTCGTGTGCTCCTGTCTACAGCTCCCTGCGGCCTTCCTTCGCACAATTATCCACCAATCAACTAAATTTCACATTGAAATCATTTGACGAGTGTTAATTAACTAATCAACACCATTATGACATCGACTGGAACCTTCCAGGGAATGATAGAGGGACGTAACTCCAGCAAGTAAGTGGACAATTGCATTTTCGTTTTTTTTTTCACCAATTCCCAAGACAAAGGGAATCACCACTTATTTTCTGTCCAATTGAATTTGGTTTTTTTATTTTTCTTTGGGAGGGTTGGAATTTGTACTGGAGGGACTTGGGGCCTCTGGGCATATTTGTGAGGGTTTTTATAACCTGAAATGATTTTTGAAAATGATGGTGAGTTTGTCATGCTGGGATTTTTTAAGCGAACCGGCAAACCGGGTCCCCATGTGTTTACAAAATCCTTTCGACTTTTGTCGACGTGAGGTTATTTGATTTGGAGAATTAGTTGTTTTGGTTTCTGAGGCATTTGGGGGGAATTGTTCGGGGGAAAGCGCTGTAATTGTTCCAGGGAAATGCCTGAGAGATTTCGCTTCCATTCGCATCGGTTTTAACCGGATATAACCAGATATTTCTCGTGCACTCGCTGTTGCCTCAGGATTTCCCGGTTTTTTACGGGTGAATAGTGACAAAAGGTGAGAGGAAATGGTATACTGCGATAGGATGGCTACCAATCGTTGTAAAAAGTTTGTTTCCATTTCAACAGAGTATGCGGAATCTAAATGATTAGATCAGGTCAGAGTCTGGAGCTGATTTGCTGTGAATAAACGGGACAAAGTCTGAGTAACAAAGATGTTATCAAAGTTGATGAATAATTTTGCTAGATAAATTGTAGGTGGAGGAAATTATGGAATATCCTAGAAAAGTTGATTATCCCAATACGTTTTTGATGCTGAGGGATAGATTTTTGTCGATGGAATTTGGTTTTTGAGGATTGATTTGTTCTCTGTTTTTGATGTTCGTGTTTCTTCGGGGGTTTGCGAGTGCCTGGGAGGGAAAATGAGGGCGTTGGCTTCTCCAGGGGTGGACGAACCTCTTAATCGTCGCTATTCTCCAATAATATTCAGAAGAAAATCAGCAGAGGAAATGCTTAGGAGGCGTCTTTTTATTCCAAAAGAGGATGTTTTTCTGATGTACTGCATGAAAGCTTATACCAGACGATTGCGGTCATTGATGACGACTAATCATCTTGTAACCTCATTAGCATGTAATTATGTCAACAGAACTCGTCAATCACGTTTTTGCATCGGTTTGGTTTATTTTTATTGGGTAATGAAAATGATTTCGGGTAATTTCGGTGGTATCCTTTGTGCTCTCGATATAACAGGTGCGGCAGTGGGAAAAAAAATGAATGGAGAGAATGGGAAGAGGGTGAATTACGTCGAATGAATAAAAAAAAAAGGGAAAAAGTGTGGGTTTTTTGTCTGGACGGTGAGTCACGGGAGGGATGTGTCCCCGCCCGTCGCAGCTGTCCTGATTGCCTGCTAATAATTACGGGTTGCTACCCGGGCTCTCACTCTCTCTCAACAGTCATATCCTACTGTGTATTTCAGGATTATCATGGGTTTGCTCGGATAACTACTTTACCAACAAAATTCAAAATTTTTGCCTTAAGGAGTTATTAGTTAGGAGATATTTTCTCATTTTTTTGTTTTTTTTTTGCAATTTCTGAAAAATGCTGAATCAGATTTACGAGGGGAGATACATGTTTTTAGGTTTTATAATTATTCAATGAATAATTAGCTTAATACATTTTCATTCGTGTGTTTATTTTTCAAAATTTCTGGTAAAGTTTTCTAAACTTTTGCAAAAGTTTACTGAGAACGTAAAAAAATTATTCGACGGCGATGAAACTTCGTGAGAGATTGAATAATAGTGAGACTTGAAAATAGTATATTTTTTCCCGGCAATTTCATCAACCGTTTTTGAAAAATAGAAAAAAAAATGAAAAATAAGAAAATCGGTAATACGCCCTTACGATAATCCTATCGTATATCGAAGTAACCATGAAATTTTTATGAAAAAACTGGTATACAGATAAATTTTAATGAAAAAACTGGTATACAGATAAATTTTAATGAAAAAAATGACAGTTAATTGGAAACCTAGATGGGCTAGATATTAGTTGTAAATTTTTATTCATTATCGATGATCAACATGGAGTCTTATGGTAATTCACGTGTTACACAAGCCCTTTTTTGAGGTTTATTTGCATGTAACATGTAATTAGGGCTGAGGAAAAAATCCTCCTGTCAATCAAATTTAGCTAGGCTACACAAATTTGTTTGATACAAGATAAATAAACGGGGGCTGTACGCGGAAATTTCAGACAGTTACTTACCTTACCTATTTACTAGGAACAAATAATTGTTTTTCAGTATGCAATGCTAATCTGTTAAATTGCGAAATTTAAAACCAATTCTAAAACTAAAATCGTAACGAGTTTTAAATTGCGATTTAATAGTTCAATATCGTAATTTACTTAAATTTTCCGTAATTTACTGAAAATGGAAATTTTTCAGTAATATTGTCTATTTTTTTCAATACATTTATAAAAATTTATTCCTTAATTCAAAATTTAAGTTGGCAAATCATTAAAAATGCTCTTCAATCTAGGGTTATACTCGGGATATGAATATAAAATGATTGTTGCAGTGTAAAAGTTTGAGATAAAACAGCAGGATACATTTTTTATTGAAAATTTATCAATAACAGGAAGACAAATGAACTATTGTTCTATTGCGCCCGAAACTATTGAACTTGTGTTTAACAGCTTAATTCAATGATTTGAATTTTAAAAATTATGCAGACGTTTGATTTGATCATTTTTTGGTTTTTCCTTAATTTTTTTCAAATAAGAAGTAGTTGAATCTTTAAAAATATTTATATACTACAAATATTCAATAAATTAATGGACATAAATCGCGAAAATTAGGGAACATTTTGAATGAGAGATCTGCCCATCAATATTTTCAGATAGAAAATGAAATTATATAGAAATAAATGATTGATGGTTATTTTTCAAACTCAAACATCAGTGAATCAGCCAGTCAATTTATTTTGGCAACTTCTGAAAAATTTTCGACGAAAGTTCGTTAGTAGTTTTAATCAATCTTTCACTGTTTTCCGTTCCTGTAGATGATTATGTAAATGTATCTGGATGGTATTTACTGAACTCTGGCCAAAATTCAAGTGGAAAAATAATTCGTTAAATACCTCTGGTGCTTCAAAATTTGGCCGGATGTTTTCTGATAACTTCGGTATCTAAGAAATATTGTATCAAATTTGCCACTTGAAAATCTCCAGTGCAAAGTACTAGTGATATTACAATAGAAACACTGATTAGAAAGTGAAAAACGATTTATATTAAATTATCTAGATTTTTTCCTTCGGCAAAGACAAGGGTTTCTAAATTTTTAAATTAAAGTAATTATAAGCCTTTCGTACTTTTCACCAATAGCCTATTGCTAGTACCATTTTGTTCTTATAAAACGTACTTTTTTTCTGACTGCAGAGGTTGAACAACCTGGGATATAAAAAGGCAAATTTATTTCTAGATGCACTTGGCCTTGGCTCGATTCAACCAAAGGTTCGACATTCTAAATTGATGAATAAGTTATTTCAGAGACACGCGACTGCAGGGGTGAAACGCGTGCACCAATGAAGGGGCATTGTCCATTTGGTGGAAAAAAACAGGGGGAGATTGTCCAGACGATGTAAATACATAACTGTATTTGTCGGGAGAGAAAAATCGATGGAACAGTCGAGACAGCTACTCCCTGTCAAATATCTGGCGACAGGCTGCTTGTCATATTACACGTTTGTTCACCTGGGGGAGTTTGTTCCAGCGATTTTTCACTCATCCCCCATTTGACTAACTGCCGGTTCTACTCCACGGGCTTCTAATTCCCATTACTCCCAACAGAATGCGCCCGTAGTTTTGTATTTAACAAATTTGTGGAAATAAATTTTTATCGGCTTTCACTCCTATTTGTTGCTGCTATAACGATCATTCCAGCGGTTCAAATTAATTGAGTAACATCTTTTTCGTTTCAATTCGTCTTCCCAATTTTAGGTCTTAGTAGAATGTAACTATTATCTAATTATCTTATGTGATTTTTACATGTTTTACGTATGTATGGGAGGGGAGGGGGATAAATTATCGAAATTCATTCACAAGACGAGTTGATTCAACTCAGCAGTGAAATGGTCAAGGGGGATGAATGACACTAGCTTCTGGATCAGTTTTTTCACGAATAACTGGGAATTTAAGATAGATTGCGAAATTTATTTAGCCACTTCCATGTGCCGCTTCACTGCTGAACTCAATTCGAAAATGAGTCTTCCATGAATCTCTCCAAATTGAAGGACTTGAGAGCATCTTCAGGATTGAAAAAAAAACATCTAGGTTCAGTTCCTGACATTATTTTTAAAATGAGTCCGTACTTCGTATTCCACTAATCCCTATGCACAGTGAGAGAACAAAATACTTTTACCTAGTGAGTTTACAGTCTAACTTCAGTTTACAGAAAGTAAATTAATTTAGCTGTAGTCATTTTTTCTCAATGTATGAGTGTAACCTATTTTTTCATTTTTATTGATTTTTATTTATTTGA